AACCGTAATGCTGGTCACCAACCACTGCAACTACCCCATTGGCTTACTTCGTGGTGAAACGTTAGGATTTGTACAACCTGTCGACCATATCGATGATATTATTCTTCCCGACGAAACGCCATGTCACATTGCTGCAATCACTCATGCGTCTGAGCCATCAAGTTCGTCAGCCTTCGACAATGCTATTGACGCAGACCTTCCCCTCTCGCATCGCCGCCAACTTGTTGCTCTCCTTAACAAGTTTCGTTCTTCTTTCGACTTTCAAGAACCTGCTTTGGGCCGCACCACGACTTTCACTCATACTATTGACACCGGCTCACATTCGCCTCTGCAACAGCGTCCTTACCGCGTTTCCGCCGAAGAGCGCCGCGTCATTACGGAGCAAGTAGATGACATGCTTAAACGTGGAGTCATACAGCCTTCTCAAAGCGCTTAGTCATCACCTGTGGTTCTGGTCAAGAAAAAAGATGGCACCGTACGATTTTGCGTGGACTATCGCCGCTTAAACAATATTACGAAAAAAGATGTCTACCCGCTACCACGAATAGACGATGCTTTTGACTGTTTACAAGAGGCCGAGTACTTTACATCTTTGGATCTGCGTTGTGGGTATTGGCAGGTGCCAATGGCTGAATGTGATCGCCCTAAAACAGCCTTTGTAACGCCGGATGGCCTATATGAGTTCAAAGTCATGCCATTTGGGCTCTGCAACGCGCCTGCCACATTTGAGCGCATGATCGACACCATCTTGCGTGCCCACAAGTGGAAAACCTGCTCATGTTGCCTAAACGACATCATAGTCTTTTCATCTGATTTCCTGACACATCTTGCTCGCCTCCATGAGATTCTGACGTGTCTAACTTCTGCAGGCCTCCAACTTAACTCCAAAAAGTGCCATTTCGCAGCACGAAAACTAACCATCTTGGGACATGTCATCACAAGAGACGGTGTTCTTCCAGATCCCGATAAGCTTCGAGCTGTCGCTGACTTTCCGTTGCCCACATCACTGAAAGCCCTCAGAAGTTTCGTCGGTCTCTGCTCCTACTTTCGTCGCTTCGTGCGCAACTTCGCGTCCATCATCGCACCTCTCACGAGTCTGCTTTCCAACAGCAAAGGCATATCTGCATGGTCACGTGCATGTGATGACGCATTTCGCCAGCTGCGCCGCCTGCTGACCTCACCACCTATTCTTCGTCACTTCGACCCTGCTGCGGCCACAGAAATTCACACCGATGCAAGTGGCATCGGTCTTGGTGCAGTTTTGGCACAACGGAAAGGCACCCAAGCTGAATACGTAGTCGCCTATGCAAGTCGCGCTCTCAAGAAGGCTGAATTGAATTACTCCGTGACAGAGAAGGCGTGTTTGGCCATAATCTGGGCGTTGACGAAGTTTCGCCCGTACCTTTACGGCCGTCCTTTCGACGTGGTCACAGACCACCACGCTCTATGTTGGCTGTCCACCTTGAAAGACCCGTCCGGACGCCTGGGGCGTTGGGCACTTCGATTGCAAGAATACGACATCCGTGTCGTATATCGTTCCGGTCGCAAGCATGCGGATGCCGATGCACTTTCGCGATCGCCATTAACACCAGATGTGGCTTCTCTGGCTCCGCCTTTTACCACCTTGTCACCACTCGACACGACTGAAATGCTTTCGGAGCAGCGTAAAGACCCATACCTTGCCTTGTTAGTCGACTACCTTACCGATCCGTCTGCTGTCCCTTCCATGAGAGCGCTACGCCGGCAAGCAGCCCACTTTTCCTTACGAGACAACATTCTGTACCGCCGCAACTACATGCCTGGTGGTCGGAAGTGGCTCCTTGCTGTCCCAACTCATATGCGCTCTGACATCTGCATGAATTTCCATGCAGATCCCCAAAGTGCTCACACAGGTGTCCTGAAAACCTACAAAAGGCTGCGCCAACGCTATTACTGGCGAGGAATGTATCGCTTTGTGCAGAAATACGTTCAGTTTTGCACCACTTGCCAACAGAACAAAAACACCTTCGCGGCACCTTACTGCCATGTTACAGCCGCTACCGTGCCCGGCTCGCCCATTCGACCGCGTGGGTATAGACCGCTATGGCCCCCTCCCATATAGTAGCTCAGGAAACCGGTGGATTATTGTCGGAGTCGATCATCTGACACGCTATGCTGAGACTGCAGCTCTACCGGCAGGGACCGCCCACGAAGTTGCACTCTTCATTCTCCGCAGCTTCATTCTACGCCATGGTGCTCCGCGGGAATTACTCAGTGATAGGGGTCGAGTGTTCCTGTCAGAGGTCATCCAAGCTATCCTCGCTTAATGCAACATTATCCACCGGAAATCTACCGCATACCATCCACAGACAAATGGTCTTACTGAGCGGTTCAACCGCACACTTGGCGACATGCTGAGGATGTACACCTCCTCCAACCACACTAACTGGGACGCTGTATTGCCCTTTGTTACCTTCGCTTATAACACCGTGACGCAAGCGACTACCGGTTTTTCCCCGTTTTTTCTGTTGTACGGCCGCGAACCTTCCCACCCACTCGACACTATACTACCGTACCGCCCTGATGCATCTGAGTGCTCCCCGCTTTCGGAAGTCGCCAGATACGCTGAAGACTGCCGTCAGTTGGCTCGGTCTCTGACAAGTGAGGCTCAAGGTCTACAAAAGACTCGACACGACGACGCTCACCGCATAGCTCCTACATTTCGTGCTGGCTCCCTTGTGTGGCTTTGGGTGCCCCCGCATGTTCCTGGCCTGTCTTCTAAACTTCTGGCCCGGTACCATTGTCATTGACGCGACCTCCCCGGTGAATTACATCATCGAGCCATTAACACAATCACCAGATTTGCGCCGTTGGGCGGGCGGGCGGGCGAGCGGAATATGCTTAGAAGAATACCTCTTCTAAACATATTCAATATAATGAGCTTTTACTGTACTTTAGCCAACATCTCCGAAAACCTGACAGCTATCCTGCTTCTCCACACATTTAGCAATAGAATTGCACTGGAGGAAGGAGTCGGAAACTATATGACCTTGCTGGTGCTGTTCACTGCATGCCAGGAAGAAAATACAGGAATAGAGAATATCTTTTTCTTAAATTTGTAGATGACATAGTGCTCTTTAACAATGAAGGTAAAAACTGTGTCAAACGATTAAGGACACCCTGAAATGGTTTTCTTTAATTTTTGTCAGCGTTGAGGCTAGTGCATCATTAAACCATTTGCACCAGAAATTCAGTAACATGCCGTGTACCAAGGTCGTTGCAGATGATTATATTATATTCTCCTTTTGACCTCTGCCTGGCCTCCTCAACTCATGAGGCAAAGTGGCATCGCTGGCGATCACAGAGCTTTCATGAGCATGCTCGGCGTTTTGAGCTTTTACCAGTCTAGATCTCCGAGATGGCACGCCGATAGGTTGCACGCAGTCTCGGAGGCCATCACATAGTTCGCCTGGCAGCATGCATGCCGTCTGGTAACAGAGAGGAAGATCGCGGAGTGCTTCATATCAGCTTCGACAGGTGCCGCCATGCTACCAGCAGATCTTACTTCTGTGCATTCTACAGCCCAAGACAGCCAATTAAATCAGCAGCCGTGATGGCGTGGCTGCTAACATGCTCTGGCCTCGTCTAGTGACTAGAGCATGCGCTCTGTAAATGGACAGTTGAAAACGTGTTTGGCAGAGTCGCAAATAACTGCAGTAATTCGCAGCTTTAAAGCAGTGTAATGAATTACACAGTTTGCGCAGAGAGCTCAAATCAGTCTCTAAATAACCCCTGTGGCTTGGTCTACAAGCCCAAAGTGTTTGTACAAGATTGACAAAACCGTTTCAGGATCTCTTTAAGGCTTGAAACAGGAAAGTAATAAAGGAGAGCTAATTATAAGTATGCTGAAGACAGAGGCAGCAATTGACAGTTGGGTAAAAAAGAATCATTGTTGACTATTGGCGACCGTCTCTTAGAATGTATAAGAGTGTGTATAGCTAGACTGACAGGGTTGCTGACTCGTCTAGAACTATGACAAGCTGGAGAGGATACAACAGGCATTCCCAAATTATGACAGGCTATTCGTCATTGTCTCAAAATTGCATACGAAGCGGTCTAGTGGTTATGGTGCTCAACTGCTGACCCAAAGCTCACGGAATGAAATTTGAGGCACTTTTTTGATGAAGCGTAAAATGCTCGAGTACCCTGTACTTAGATTTTTAGGTGCACATTAAAGAATCCCAGGTGTTCGAAATTTTTGGAGCCCTCCACTACGGCCTTTCTTTTAATCATATCTTGATTTTGGGACATTAGGCCTCGTATGTAAAAACGTTTTAATAGTGCTAGTTCTAACACATAGGGCTTGAACATTGAGGATAATGAAGAAATACTTGAAAAAGAGTGCCGATTTCTTTCAGTCATTTCACCAGACATGCCACATGCCTCTCCTACCCACTTAGTATTTTCCTTTTCAGACATTTGAAAATTGTGTAGTCTTTTTTACCAAGTGTTTTTGACATTTGGAACAGCTTAGATTGTTCTTTGCCGGAAAAACCACATGAAGATTTTGTAGAAGCATTGCCCAAATATGTTTTATGATACCTTCAAAAGGCACTGTATGAATGTTATTTGGTCTACTGATGTACCCCCTGCTATTACTTGTCTATCAGTACAGCAGTACCTGAAAATAATAAAAACTATTTAATTATTAAAATAATGATTGTGTAGCGAGTAGTAGAATGAGAAATGATGGATGTAACATTAAGAGATTGAAAGACAAAAGAGTTGACCAGAGGGGAAATTTTCTAGTTAGCATCAGGTGCAAGTAGGAGAGACATCTGGCAGTCAGTCAGAGCAACGGAATAAACACCTAGGGATGGCAAGTGCAGTGGGAATCCATGGCACCTCAAATAAAGCTTCTTCTTTTAACCATTGCAGTGTTTCACGTTATACTAGTAAGATGAATTCGCATAGTTTTAACGTACATGCCCAGGTGCCTATTAAGTGAGCACTGTTTGCAGGGCATGACCATGGTGCCCTTGGAGGACCTGAAGGTGGAGCTCTGCCCACGCATCTCCCCTCATGACCTTTTAGCTCTGCTTCAGGTGTCTCGAAAGGACAGCTGTAAAATGCCTCTTCTGGTCATCGATGTACGTCCCTTCGAGGAGTATCCTTTGGGCTTTCAGTGGAAAGTGCAACTCAAAACTCATTAAAGCAGGCACATCTGCCATAAAAATACTTTGTTATATTCAGAAACTCGTTATAAATGTTTATTCATTACACGGTATCTATGACAAAGCTATTCTTCAACTACTTCATTATACGTATCTGTCTTTATTATATCAAGGTTTAAGTACACTCCGACCTCAGTATAATGAATCATCGGTTGTAACAAGTAGATGAAGAATACTGTGTAATAAATACACAGGCATGTTACTCCTATAGTTTGAGATGTCTGCCCGATATTTACTCATTCTTGCCTGTTTTCTCTGTTGATTAAGACCAAGAAAGGATGCTTAATTCCAAGCACTGTTCACCTCCTTCTCATGCTTACCCATACAAAAAGCAAGCTTTTCTGAGCATTTTTGTTTTAGCACATTCATTACAAAACTTGTTTTGATTCACACTCAATTGATGGGGGAATGATGGAGCTTTGCACCCTCCCAATGGATAGACATGCCTATGCATAATTACTTCTTTATTTATCGTTAGGGAATGTTGAATCGTTAGGGAATGTTGAAGAAGTATAGCTCACTTTTCATTTGCACATATGGAAATGCATTTGTTGCTCACTGTTTTTATTTTGCTCTTTTATATTTTATTCCTTCATCATTTATTTGCTATTGGCGTAGTGATCTCTGTGGGTTGTCTACGTAACAGAATTATCACTTTGCCTGAATGCTTTGGTAGAATTCCTTGAGTGACAAATATCTTCCTTCTCATTTTGACTCGGAACATAAGAGTGCTTGAGATGCAATGATGCTATTTAGCATCTGCTCAAAAAGGTCACCTTATTAAAATATGCACCCACTACGCTGTGTTTCTAGGGATGGGGGTTTCCTAGCTTCACCCATTATCTATGTCACAAAAAAAGTCATAGCTCTGCCACAAAGGCGAAGCAATGAATGTGATAGCAAGAAATCGGAAGGTAATGCTCAGAATGGAAAGCAGATCGAAACGTGCCCCACGTTTTTCACGCGCAAGTGACTCACGAAACGTACTCACAGGTACAGATGCACACAATTAAGCGTCTCAGTTGTTACTTCGCTGTGTCTGAAAAGCGCGTGCTTTTCACAAATGGGGACTGCAGTGATTGCAGTGACTCTGTGCACCTGGTAATACAACAGAATCGTTCCAGGTAAATCCGGATGCCAGCCAAGACGTACGATTCTCTCCACTGTGAGATAACGGCGCGCAAGAGTGTGTCGCCTCCCTCCTCTAAGTGGGGCAAAGTATGCGTGGGGGATGGGAGCATGCGCCGCCGCACGATGTGGTGACGTGCCCTCGTTCCACCATCTTGGTGGTAATGCTGAAAACATGATTTTTGCCCCCCAAGATGCCCCTCAGTAGCGGGAAGTGGTAGATATAAATAGCTTGCCATTTGAACGTCGGACGGGTTTCTCCGTGACTCAGATATTAACGCCTCACACTCACAATGCAGAGAATCCAAGTTCGATTCCGCGCGCCGGAGTCTTTTTCTGGATTTCTTTCTTGGGTCGAGAGATCGACACGTGTCCAAAAGTTGATATTTTAGATTTCATTGAGTATTTTATATTTCGTGCACCTCTCACCAGGTAGCCAGAAAGTCAACTTCGTTTTATGATTAACGGCATAACTTACGAGAAAAAAAACTATCAAACTTCACCAACACGGAGGCACCAATTTCGTCACCTGTCATTTTCGAAAACTGCAGACACTATAAAAAAACAAATATTTTTGTTTCAAGGAAGATATTTTTTACCTGAAATGTATGTCAAATGAAAAATGAATTCATACGGTTTCAAGTTTGCAGACCGAAAGAAAATAGCTTTTAAAAATGTCTAATTTTGCGACAATTTAAAATAAGTTACGTATTCCCCATTTTTTTTCTCCGAAAGTAATGCAAGCAGCGTTTTCAAACTTGACACGTTTTAAGAATATAGTGTGTTTATTAGGTACATAAATTATTGTCGCCGTAAGGCAAATGTAAATTTTTATATATTGCCTCAAAGTTCTCATTGTATTAGCAAAAGTGTACTCCACTGAAATTTGAATAATAAAAAAAACCCATCTTCGATTTTTCTTAAAATCTCGTAAATAGACAAGCAAAGGCCATCATACAGTAATATAGAAAAACATGTTGCATTATTTTGTTTTTAACGACAATATTCATAGTACAAATCGGAGCTTTTCGAGAATGCGCTGATAAGTTGAGAAATCTAGAAATCGGAACAGAAAAGCGGCAATGAGCTTCAAACGTGGGTAAACGTGACCACATTTGGGGAAGAAAGGCTGTTTTAGCGCTGTGACAAATACATACCCATGAAGGGGCATTTATGCTCCTGATAACACAGCTCTAATGAAGGAAATCTTCAACACTGTAACGCAGTTGCAAAACATCTGTCTATATTTGCAGATAAACTCAAACATGAAAATGTTCCAACGCAAGCGTTGGGTCTCGCTAGAAAGAGCATATGGGCTTGAAGTACCCTCACTAGTATTTTGGTGGTGAGTGCGTGAAACAAGAGATGCGCTCAAAATGGCTGCATCTTTTGCAGATCACATTTAGCAGTACGTGACACTAAAAACTAGACCACGATCAGTGCCCTCAGATGTGCTTAGCCAAATATGCCAAGAACGTATGCCTGGAACACGTGGCAACAATTTCTACTGACTCTTCTTAAACTGACGGAATGTTTCTAGCTCGTCTGCATTTGCACACAGCAGCTTGACATTCTTGAGCTTCGCGCTCATTTGCACCACCATTTGGGATGCTGACATAATCACAGCTGAGCTTGCCGCTCTGAGGTTGTAGAGCGTAGCCTGATGCTTTAGTAGGCCACCAACGCCATCACAAGAGTTCTTGCCATGTCCTGTGGCCAAAAAAATCCACTTCGTTGATATATGATCTTTCTGACATTACTGGAACAACTGGTGCTTGTTTTTGAAGTGACTGCTGGCACCATCAGAAACATAAATAACATGCATGTCAGGCTTAAGTTGTTCCTTCATATAGTTGTAGATTATTTGTAGAGCAAAACAGGTATGTGCAGCATCATGGCATGTGTCATCACTGATGACGGCAAAACTTTGAATTGATTGCTTCCTTGCGACGACACACGTGAATATAGACACCTGTCTTTTGTGCCAGTGATACGACTGTACCTCATTCGGTAAAATGGCTGTCTAGTTTGCGGCGAAATCAAAGTGAAGAATGCAAGATTCTTTTTCTTGGTTCTCTTTTGCGTGGCGTATGGCTGATTCTTGAATGTATCTTATGTAATCATGGGTAATCCACTTCATGAACCATATACTTAGCTCTCGCAGAAAAGCACTTGCCTGGGCAGTTTTTTTTGTTTTTTTTTTACTAGATCGCCATTTTCGCATACTGCATAGGCTACCTCAATATCTTCAGGGATTCCTAAACATGTGGCTGTCAGAGCATTCTCCTTAGCACAATAGTTACAATGGCCTAAGAACAATCACTTGTAGGGGAGTTGCAAAGACATAGTTCTTTCAAGAAGTCCGCGTTTAGGCAACACCGGTGACGTCTCGTAGGGCAGAAACACACTCTGTGGCATTAGCTCAGTATATACAACGGCACACTTCTTGGTGTGCTGCAAGAAGAAACCACTTCGGCCTCAGTGAATAAAACTTTGAGAGCCCAATAGACGTGTTCGGATTAGCTTCTCTAAAGAGACGGTAAGCCTCTCACACCGAACGGGTCATGAACCTTTTCGAAACAAGCTCTTTTTTTCCGTTAATGACAACCGATACTACATCTTTTTTGTTGGGACTCTGCCGAGAGCAGCTATACTCGTCTTTGGAGTAGTAAGCCATAGCTGCCTGGACGTCCATTGGGTTCAGCCGTGTAATTTTTACCGCATTTGGTGCTAACAATTTCCCGTGTTTGCACGCCAGCGTTGGGATCTGTATATCATGTAAGCTGACAAGTTTGTTATAAGCGCTTGGAGTTTTCGGCGCTCTATATCGCTTGGCAACAGTGTCAACAAACGCATGTGCTCTTGATACGAAGAACACGCTTCATAAGCTTGCGTGAAGTTCTTGAACCACTGGGTACACACACTGCATTTTAGATCTGATGGTTGAAAGTGGCGGTTACACACGTTACGGTGGCATTTCACAGTTACTGTAGAATTGCTGCTAAGCTGTCTTGACTCTTCATGAACTTTGCTATTTTGCGCATGCAGCTTCTCTAGTCACATATGTGACAATGCTTCAGGCGTGTTTACGCACCGCTCTTGACTTCTTCCTTTTTCTTCTTCCGGCAAAAACCCATCAGCTGTTTCAGCTCAGAAGCCATTAGACGAAGACAGCATATCTCTGAGGCGTCTGAAGCAGTTCTGGCAGATGTGGTCATTATGTGCATGGCGGGCAGCTTTCGGCAAAAGCTTCTGGAGGGCAAATAGGCCGATGTCTTCCACCTTGCGGAAGTTTCTTTGATAAGGTATTTTCTTTTTATGCAACATGAGGTAATCTGAACAAAAAACTCTATCCCGGCTGAAGCGGTCAGCCATCGCCACGCTCCTTGAGGCTCAAATAACTGGCAATGCAACTATGCGTGAAACCAGTAGTACGAAAGTGATCTATCTGTCGTCTGTTCCTAAATCTTTCACCTTTAATGAGAGCAGACGTAAAACAGTGTGCACAAGTATCCGCAGTGCGAATGCAAAACTGAAGTATAGTACGTTAAAATGAATTTCACAATGTTTTTGTCAATAAAATTACGGGAGGCATAATCTTTGTCGCTACTTTGAACCATATGATCTAAAGCATTGCCTCCGAGATGCGGCGCACAGCAATTCATCTGTAGAGCAGACGACAGATGACAACTTGATCTAAAGCACGTTCTTCAGGCTAATGCGGCAGTCTTCGTGCCCCAAATGATAAAAATTTGTTATGAATCATTTATGAACTCATTCAACATTCAATTTTCTTACCCAACGT